ATGTATGTAATTACGTATGTATATATGTAATTACGTATGTATATGTATATGTACATGTGCATGTAGATGTAGGTACGTATGGACATATGCATGTATGTATGTATGCATGTAACATATGTATGGATGCATGCATGTATGTATACTATAATACTGGGGGCTTAGGAGACGGTGAACGCCAGCTCCGGGGGCCAACAAACTCCCATTCTTGGAGAGGACTTCTTTGGCAGACTCTCCATGGCGTCAAGCTGGCTCCCAGTTACACACAACTGATGATGATGATGGTGATGATAATGTAACAGTGATCATCATGACAATGACAGTGCATGATGCAAACCATGTGCAGCCAATTAACATTGCATCACTAGCAACTGAGTTGGAATAGTCAAATTCTATCTTCTGTGATTCAGGCCAATCATCTCCTTGATAGCCCTCCGTTTTGCTGGTGAAACTGCGAGTTGTGTTTTTCTTTACCCGAACTCTTTTGCAACGGCGCGCCAATTGATCGTTGATGTTTATTAGCAGCTGACTGCTAGGTTGAAACTCTCATTGAAACCAAGGATTCTTCCTCCTGACCAAAAGATCGATGCTCCTTTTTGCTTTCTGCAGTCATATCCAAAAGTGCGCGCGGATTCCAGCTTGCCGCAAGCGGTGCATGAGGTTCATGGCGGTGTCCACGGTCCGGCCAGCCCCATCCCAGTTACTGCCACCCCAGCCGAAGTCGAAGTCAAACTCAAAATGATACCTAGAACAAAAAGACACATGACACAGGTGGAAAATGTGGGACAAATGCGAAAAAATATAATACAAGAATACGACCACATGTGACACCGGACATGATACACTGACTAGATGAGAGGAAGGACTTTGCGAAAATTCACAGGCAGCTTTGGAGAACATCTGAGAAAATGAGAATACATGACCTCAAACTCCGCACGGTCAAACAACCCAAAGAAGAACACACCTCACCGATCAACACACTGATATCAAAGATTTCCACATATTTCAATATATTGCCTCCAACATAACATTTCCAAAAACGATGGCCACCAGCCTAGTCGATGGCCTCCAACCTAAGAGCGAGAGCCTCCCTTCCAGTAGCGATGGCCTCCAACCTAAGAGCAATAGCCTCCCTTCTAGTAGCGATGGCCTCCAACCTAAGAGCGATAGCCTCCCTTCTAGTAGCGATGGCCTCCAACCTAAGAGCGATAGCCTCCCTTCTATAGTAGCGATGGCCTCCAACCTAAGAGCGATAGCCTCCCTTCCAGTAGCGATGGCCTCCAACCTAAGAGCGATAGCCTCTCCATCCTAAGAGCGAAAGCCTCCAATATTGCCGAAGAACTCGAAATAGAGTTCATCCACCAGTCTGGCCAGTTCAGGTCGTTCGGCGATTGCCTCGACGATGGCCAGCTCAGGTCCGCCATCTATGTCCACCTTGACGACCACAAAATCCTCCACAGAGGCCGTGGCCAGAAGCAAACGCAAAAACGAACCATGCCGCGGGTGGCGGCCCAACAAGGTCTCTGGGCAACCGAGCTCCTGGAAATGCACGATGAATGCGAGGCAGAAGTTGAAAGGTACATTTCAATTCACTTTGCACGTGACAGTGACAATTGTAAATGTAAATTACTCCACAAGTCTAAACGATTCAGAACTGTTCTAAACTCACAATTCGAGCAATTTACTACAAGAAGCTTGAAGTCTTGTACCCAATACCATAGTTGTTTTTGTTGTTCCCCACATCTTAGTGTGGGGTTCTTCTTTTCTATGTCTCATCCCGCTTCTCCCGCTCCTCCCGCCACACCCACAGAGACACACAGCGAGACAACACACACACAGAGATCACACACACAGAGACAACACACACCGAGACCACACACACACACAGAGATCACACACACCGAGACCACACACACACACAGAGACCACACACACCGAGACAACACACACCGAGACCACACACACAGAGATCACACACACAGAGATCACATACACAGAGATCACACACACAGAGACAACACAGACCGAGATCACACAGACAGAGATCACACACACAGAGACAACACACACACCGAGACAACACAGACCGAGACCACACACACCGAGACCACACACACCGAGACCACACACAC